ATTTTTTTTTTTTTCCCCTCCCCCACTCCTCCATTTTCACCTGGTGATCTGGCCAGTAACACTTCATGTGTTAGTGAAACAGCTCTAGATGAATGAGCACAGCAGACAGCAACATTGTCAGGCTGGGGGGCGGGGAGTGGGAAGTGTTAAATGTATTAGCAGATTAAGATACACTAACATTTAATCCAAACTTCAGCGTGCACGATTTGATCAGTTGCAGCAAACACTTTTTTTTCCTTTTGGGAATGAATAAAATATTGAAAACATGAATAAAAGCTGATAATTTTAATCATTCCTACTAGTGGGAACCGCACCGATATGACCGCTCTAATAGTGGACAGTATGGTGCAACTTTGCATATGATTTGCAAATTGCATGCCAAGTCACACCTGTGTGACTGGGGTGTAATACAACTTTTGAAACTGTTTTGTGCATGGACCAAGTTTACTCTAAAGAGTTGGCTCCGCTGATGAGATTCACACTGCACATTTCCCCATGATTAGAGTGCATTCACTCAGAACTGGCATATGCTCCACGTAGATAAGGTGATCGCATATACACTGACCCTATGCATGACGCATGTACTTGTGTGAAAAAGTATCCTCTTCTTTGTATTTTCCTGCCAGTCCCTCTGAACAGCTGTTCTCTGGGAAGAAATTATGTGATCACGTATAAATCCCCATCCCCCCTTTTTTTTTTTTTTTTTTTTTTTTTTATGTAAATAGAAATGAAAAGGCAAAATATTTGTATTTTAACCACTTGACCTCCAGAGAAATTATTCCCCTTCATGACCTGGCCATTTTTTGCTGTTTGGCATTGTGCTATTTGAACTGGTAATTGCGTGGTCGGGCAATGCTGTACCCAAACTAAATTTTGTCTTTTTTTTTTTTTTTTTTTTTTTTTTTTTTTTGACACCAATAGAACTTTCTTTTGGTGGTATTTGATCACACCTGTAGTTTTTTTACTTTTTGATTCTAGATGTGTGAGCCTATGGAATTTATGTGCCCAGTGGACACTTGTTCCTCACTTCATTCCCTCCCCACCTCCTGCTGTCAAAACACTGACGTGAATGAGCAACAAGTTGGATACAAGTGGTATGTGTGGAGCAGATGGCCAATTTGGTTGCCCCCGTTAGGGCCCCTTCTTTTCTGGGGGACATTGCATGTAACTGGTCTCATCCATAACTGATAGTCCTTCCAAGAGCAATTTTCAAGTCATGTGGCTTCTGTGTTCTGCCAATCTAAACTAGAGCTGATGTGATGGGAAACATCTTGACAGAGTTGTGCCACAGGATCCGTCCACACATTGTCTACTTGGTTGCACCCCCCTTTTGGCAGTCTGCACAACTACACTCCTCCAAGCTACATAGAAGTCCCTGGATGGAATGAAGAGCTACTCCAAACGTGAACAATGTAACGTGAATTGAGTGTTCTGTGTAAACCGTTGCAGCATTTTACAAGAGGAAGCATAACGAAGATTAGGAGTAGCTGCAGAAAGCAAGCAGACAACTTCAATCTCTGTATCCTAGTTTAGGATTGAAGCAGCTTGTTTACCTCTTGAAAACATGCAATCCTATGTGCTACAGTCTTAAAGCTGAGCTTGCAAGCAAAGACTAATGCTCCGTACACATAATGAGAATATCGGACGAACGATCGGCCGGTTTTTTTCGTCTGCTATTCTCACATCAAAAGTGAAAAGGTTACTAAAGATACAAAAATTCTCCTATGAAAGAAAAGAATTTCAAAAGTGATGTCATGTATTGCGTTGTATTTGTATTGTATTTTCAGACTACTGTACTGATTAAACAAAAATCATACGAGAATTTTTGAGCTTGTCCCTTCGGATATTGTACGAATTGTCCTGATCGGCTCTCAAAAGCTGTGTACTAACGATCTGATTATCAGACGATCGGTCCTTGTACGAAAATTTTCATACAATTTTCTTATAGCTTGGACATTAGCAAAAATTCAAGGTAAACAAGATTGGCCACTGCAGATGGAGCTAGCAGAGTACTGCAATGCTTTAGGGACATGCAGATCAGCTCCAACTGCAATGAAGAAGATTGCCTACCTGCAAAGGCTAAAGAAGGCCACAACACAATGCACTGTCAAAGTTAAATATAACATTTATTTATAAAAATATAAAAACATCTTGAAACCAAAAAAAAAAAAAAAAATTATAACTTTTCTAAAGTAGGCCACATAGCCAGGCTGGTCCAGCACTTGCTCCAGGGCCTGGAATGCGCCGGCACATCCAGCCCATGAGGCCACGGATGCCTCGATCGTTGGAACACTGTAGAAAAAGCCAAATCAAATTTATTGGCAATAAAAAAAAGGCGACACACTTGCTTCCAAAACCAACAACAACAACATGAAATACATGTCTAACTTTGTCCATTATCCTGAAAGCACTCTATGCTGTTGTCACCTCATAATTGGAACACAGAACTTACATTTCGTGCCTGGGATGATTTCATGGCCCAAGGAGTATGCTTGGAATCCTTAGCCCTAGATTAAAGTGTTTGCTCACTGACTACAAATATATCTGTGGGCAATAGTGAAAATGGCAATCTCATCAGTAAAGACAACAGATGCTTTTGGCACACCTATCTCCTCCACAGTGTTTCCAAAGACACCTATCCTAGGATTCTATTAGCTGCAGGGGTGGGAATCCCTACATACATTATATACAGCCAGAGCACAGAGCTGAGCAAACTCTGTGAGCCTGTTGGGGGCTAGTGGCCCAACTCCCTCCACACAGGTACAGAGATTCCTATAGAGCTGGCAGTGTGAGTAACCAAGTTTGTCCTTGAAGGGAGGCGGACCATCTCCCAGGAAACTGAGGTGTCAGCTGCATCTATTAGGAGTGAGTCTTTAAGATGGCAGCGAGAGGAGAGACCAGAGTGGAACAAACATTTGTTACTTGGGAAGCAGGTTATTGCTCACTCGAGTGTCAAGTTAGTGCTCACTCTTGTGTCATATTCTTTGATTATTGTCCTTTCTTAATTATAAAAACACTTTAATGTGTGCCTATGTAGACAAACTCAGCTGTCAGGTCTAAATGTGAAGATTGAGCCTATATTTGACTGATGTGATGTTTAGTGTGAATATTGCAGTTCTTTGGGGGCGGCATCCTAAATATAGGATGAGGCCAACCAATCTAGACAAGTAAGGGGGAGATGAAGCCTTCTACATACCTTACATGTGCATATGTGTAAACAGTTGAGAAACTGACCTTGAGGGATGCTGACCTCTGTATCCAGATGGGGCTGGAGCCCCCATAGCACCCTGGGCATCCTGAGGTAAAACTATGTGAAGAGTAATAAAAAAAAGAGCAAGATACGAGCCCTGATATTTGAGAAAGAAAAGGATGATAAAGAGTCATGTAGTACAGGTCCCAGTTAGCCCTAGCCAACATAGCAAAGTCCTCTTTCGGTTTGGGTTACTAAACTAGATGACCAGAACCAGAAGGGCTTAAGGTCAAATTCGTTTGGCCACTTGTTGGCACCCACACTCCAGCAAATTGCTCATATCCTACAATGCTAACATACTCTGGCTGTCCCTTGACGATGTTTCACATCACCTTAGGGCCTACCCAAATGTCACAGTGTGTGATGTGTGTGAGCCATTACAAGGAACAGTCTTCCTTGGCAGTGGTGTGGTTCCAGCATTACAATGTTGGAGAGCCTTGATCTTGACAAGAGGAATTGGCTCACACACATCAGCTTAGCTATGCTTACCCTACAGTAAGAGTGTAAACACTAATTTGCCAACCCTTGCAGCCATTCCCACTTTCCTTCTTGGGGTCTATAGTATAGTGACTTCAAGCATCCCAAAGCAGAGGCCACAGGTTGGCAGCAGATCTGAGGCTTCACAAGAAGATTTCACAAGTTATAAGTCTTTGCCAGTCTAGCTGCAGAAGGGCTCAGTCCATACAATATTCCCCTCCCCTACAGAAAAACACAAATGCCCCCTTGAGTGTAAAACACATACATACTGCAAGGTGGCTGTCAGGGCTCCCGGGTATGACCAGAGGTGTGTGACTGACGCAGGGAAACGCAGACTTCAGATAAGTTATAAACAATTTATTAACACTAACAATACAAACATAAACGCAGTGCAATACTAAAACATAACACAGTGCAAACGAACCAAACCAAACCACCCACAGATAACAGTACATACAGTGCAAGCGTCGTCAGGCAGGCCGGGTCAATATCAATCGGGCAGGTAGGTACAGGGGGAGCAAGCGGAGAATAGTCAGGTCACGAGCAGGGTACAGCAACTAACAGGCAGGTAGGTACAGGGGGTCAGGCAGAGAATGGTCGGGGTCACAAGCCAGGGATCAGAACAGGAGAAGTCAGCAGAGGTCAGAATCAAGCCGGGTCAGCAACAAGACAGGAACAGGAGCAGGATGCAGGAACAAGATACAGGGCCCAGGAAAAACACAACACCAAGGCAGAGTCTGCAGGTCTGAATGTCCCTTAAATACACCAGTATAATTAGTTCCAGGTGTTTGACTGGCTGCAAGGTTGAGTCTCTGATTGCTGGGAGCACCCGCTGGCCAGCCCTGGTACTGCAGCTCACAAGGCAGGTGAGTCCCACTATTGCTGGCCAGTCCATTCCTGACAGTACCCCCCTCAAGGAGCGGCCCCAGGACGCTCCAAACAGTCCTAGCTGGGCAAAAAGTTCCACCGCCCGGGTCTGGTAACTGGCGGGATATCAAAGACTGGCACACCGGGCAGGACTCCGGGCAGGGGCACACCGGGCAGAGGCACACCGGGCTGGACTCCGGGCAGAGGCACATCGGGAGATTACCAGGTGGCAGCAGCAGGCACCGGGCCCCCGGGGGGTGACAGAGGCATCGGGCCCCCAAGCGGAGCGACAGGCATCGGGCCCCCAAGCGGAGCGGCGGGCGGGCGCCGGGCCCCCGGGCGGGGCGCAGGCATCGGGCCCCAGGCAGGGGCGACAGGCATCGGGGACCCCCAGGCAGGGCGACAGGCATCGGGCCCCCAAGCGGAGGGGCGACAGGCATCGGGCCCCCAGGCGGGGCGACAGGCATCGGGCCCCCAGGCAGGGCGACAGGCATCGGGCCCCCAGGCAGAGCGGCGGGCGCCGGACCCCCAGGCGGGAGCGACAGGTCTCGGGCCCCCAAGCGGAGCGGCGGGCGCGGGACCCCCAGGCGGAGCAACAGGTCTCGGGCCCCCAGGCGGAGCGGCGGGCGCCGGACCCCCAGGCGGAGCGACAGGTCTCAGGCCCCCAGGCGGAGCGGCGGGTCTCGGGCCCCCAGGCAGAGCGGCAGGCATCGGGCCCCCAGGGCGGGGCGACAGGCATCGGGCCCCCAGGCGGGGCGACAGGCATCGGGCCCCCAGGCGGGGCGGCGGGGCATCGGGCCCCCAGGCGGAGCGGCGGGCGCCGGGCCCCCAGGCGGAGCGGCGGCGGGCGCCGGACCCCCAGGCGGAGCGACAGGTCTCGGGCCCCCAGGCGGAGCGGCGGGTCTCAGGCCCCAGGCGGAGCGACAGGTCTCAGGCCCCCAGGCGGAGCGGCGGGCGCCGGACCCCCAGGCGGAGCGGCGGGCGCCGGACCCCCAGGCGGCGGAGCGACGGGTCTCGGGCCCCCAGGCGGAGCGGCGGGCACCGAGTCACCAGGCACGACAGTGGGCACCGAGTCGTCTGGCAAGACTGCGGGCACCGAGTCGTCTGGCAAGACTGCGGGCACCGAGTCAACTGGCGGAACAGGGGCGGGCATCGAGTCAACTGGCGAGACTGCGGGCACCGAGTCGTCTGGCAAGACTGCGGGCACCGAGTCATCTGGCAAGACTGCGGGTACCGAGTCGTCTGGCAAGACTGCGGGCACCGAGTCAACTGGCGGAACTGCGGGCATCGAGTCAACTGTCGGAACTGCGGGCACCGAGTCGTCTGGCAAGACTGCGGGCACCGAGTCGTCTGGCGGAACAGCGGGCACCGAGTAACTGGCGGAACAGCGGGCACCGAGTCGTCTGGCAAGACTGCGGGCACCGAGTCGTCTGGCAAGACTGCGGGCACCGAGTCGTCTGGCAAGACTGCGGGCACCGAGTCGTCTGGCAAGACTGCGGGCACCGAGTCGTCTGGCAAGACTGCGGGCACCGAGTCTACTGGCGGAACAGCGGGCATCGAGTCAACTGGCGGGACTGCGGGCACCGAGTCGTCTGGCAAGACTGCGGGCACCGAGTCGTCTGGCAAGACTGCGGGCACCGAGTCAACTGGCGGAACAGCGGGCATCGAGTCAACTGGCGGGACTGCGGGCACCGAGTCGTCTGGCAAGACTGCGGGCACCGAGTCGTCTGGCAAGACTGCGGGCATCGAGTCAACTGGCGGAACAGCGGGCACCGAGTCGTCTGGCGGAAACAGCGGGCACCGAGTCGTCTGGCAAGACTGCGGGCACCGAGTCGTCTGGCAAGACTGCGGGCACCGAGTCACCAGGTATGACAGCGGGCACTGGGTCACCAGGCATTGGATCGTCTGGCTCGACAGCGGGCATCGGGTCACCATGTATGACAGCGGGCACTGGGTCACCAGGCATCAGGTCATTTAGCTCGCCAGCGGGCACCGCGTCATCTGGCACGGCAGTGGGCACCGAGTCACCAGGCACGACAGTGGACTCTGACTCAATTGGCACGACACGGGCACCGGGTCATCAGGGACCGGATTGTCTGGCTCGACAGCGGGCATCGGGTCACCAGGTATGACAGCGGGCACTGGGTCACCAGGCATCAGGTCATTTGGCTCGCCAGCGGGCACCGCGTCATCTGGCAAGGCAGTGGGCACCGAGTCACCAGGTACGACAGCGGGCTCTGAGTCAATTGGCACGACAGCGGGCACCGGATCATCTGGATCAACAGCGGGCATCGAGTCAACTGGCCTAATAGGATCATCAGGCTGGATCAGTTCATTATGCTGGGTAGAGTAAGCATCCGGCTGAGTAGAGTAGGCTGCATCCGGCTGAGTAGAGGCTTCAGGCTGAGTAGAGGCTTCAGGCTGAGTAGAGGCATCAGGCTGAGTAGAGAGGCATCAGGCTGAGTAGAGGCATCCGGCTGAGTAGAGGCTTCAGGCTGAGTAGAGGCTTCAGGCTGAGTACAGGCTTCAGGCTGAGTACAGGCATCAGGCTGAGTAGAGGCTTCAGGCTGAACCACGGAAGGCAGGTTCACCGGTTTGGATACTGGCAGGATGGTACTGGTTGGAAAGAATTTTCGCTTTTTTCTGGTTTTAACTACTGGGGCACTGCAAGTAAACGCAGGTCTGCAAATGAATGGAGCAGCTGGAGACAGAGAAGAGCTGGAGGATGGAACAGGGGAAGGAACAGTCGCTACAGAGGGCTTCTTTACAGGGTTAAAGGCAGGATAGGTGCAGCGAGTGGGAACAGGGTACTGACATGCGGTAGATAGCCAAGTATACTGGGCTGTAACTGGAGGAGCTGTTGGGAATACAGGAGTAGAGCTTTGAGGAGATAGATTAGAAGCAGGACTGGGTCTTTGTAAGCTGACTGAGGCTGGGTGTAACAAATCTGTCCATGTCTGCAGTATGGGTTGAACAAAGCTGAGCTTACACAAAGCCTGTCTGACCAAAGACTGCACTGCGTTTATACAATCTCTTAGTACCTGTGGTGAACATGTGGAATAACGCTCCAGAAAGTAACCCCACATCATCCTCTAATAACCATACCAGGGACTCTACCTGGTCTGCACTAAATGGTGGCAAAAATTCATCCCTGCATTCGGGGGTACCAGATGAAACCAACTCAGCACAAACCTCAATCAATGGCTGCACCTCAGAGAACTCTGTGCCCTGATCTACTAGAACATGAGCGAGCCGTATACATTCTAGCAGTTCATCCCGGGTATACTCCTTCAGAGTTTGATAAGCATACTCTCTGTCATCAAACACTAGCAGATATAAATACGCAACCTCATCCAGATCCATCCTTCCCATCAACAAACCAAGATGGCTTCCCTGTGGAGCCACTTCTGGTCAGGATTGGCCTTGGTGTAATGTCAGGGCTCCCGGGTATGACCAGAGGTGTGTGACTGACGCAGGGAAACGCAGACTTCAGATAAGTTATAAACAATTTATTAACACTAACAATACAAACATAAACGCAGTGCAATACTAAAACATAACACAGTGCAAACGAACCAAACCAAACCACCCACAGATAACAGTACATACAGTGCAAGCGTCGTCAGGCAGGCCGGGTCAATATCAATCGGGCAGGTAGGTACAGGGGGAGCAAGCGGAGAATAGTCAGGTCACGAGCAGGGTACAGCAACTAACAGGCAGGTAGGTACAGGGGGTCAGGCAGAGAATGGTCGGGGTCACAAGCCAGGGATCAGAACAGGAGAAGTCAGCAGAGGTCAGAATCAAGCTGGGTCAGCAACAAGACAGGAACAGGAGCAGGATGCAGGAACAAGATACAGGGCCCAGGAAAAACACAACACCAAGGCAGAGTCTGCAGGTCTGAATGTCCCTTAAATACACCAGTATAATTAGTTCCAGGCGTTTGACTGGCTGCAAGGTTGAGTCTCTGATTGCTGGGAGCACCCGCTGGCCAGCCCTGGTACTGCAGCTCACAAGGCAGGTGAGTCCCACTATTGCTGGCCAGTCCATTCCTGACAGTGGCATTTTGACCTTTGAGCAGATGGTGAAGCAAAAAAACATGTAAGTCTTGAGCCAGCCATCCCAGCCTTTCCCCACAACACCTCATGTGACACCCCCACACATAGACACTGTCCAAAAGCAAATATTGTAAAGTGGTTTAAATTCACAAAAGTGGGACATACCTGCCCAAACTGGGCCCTGGGGCTCTTGGGAATCCCCCACCTCCGAGGACTCCATCCTCTCCTGGGGTCTCGGGAGTCCATCCATGCACTTCCGGAGAGCCAGTAAATTTGACAAAAACACCATCAAAAAAGAGCTCCAGATGTCGGTCTAATTCCAGGCTTTGTAAATTTAAGAGTTTACAAGAAACACACACAATGTTGAACCCAAGCCTGAAATTCTCTCATACTTGAAGCACAAGAAGCAGACTAACTCCAGATAAGTTTGGATAGTGTATGACCCTAGGGAGCCAAGGAATTCAAAGAAAGTCGAACATGTGAAATTCTGGCTACTGAACATCCAAATAGAAGAGGGTGCACTCCAGAAAATGAACAATGTCCAATCTTTATGTTGGATATTGTAAGGGGTTGTGGTGTCAACAGCCACTATACCCTTAGCTGTAACCTCTTCAAAGGTTGACATAAGGGAAAGGCCTTAACCATTGTACAGTAAGACACAACTTGGAACACTCGCCAAACACTAATAGCTGGGAAGCTCCTCTGGGATAGGCTCTCCCACCCCCTCTGCTAGTGTATTTTGGGGGCACATACCCTGCATTGGTAGGTCATTGAAAATTTGGCCCAAAGGCAGACGTTTCTTGCCTTCATGCATTCACAGCATTAAGGCCCCCCAAAAAAACTGCTTGGCATCCTCCTCCAGACCCGAAAAAATACTGACCTGTGACCAATTATCATCCCGTGCTGTGCTAGAGAGCAGCACCTTGTCTCAGAAAGGTATGGATGTGTACAGGCCTACACATATTGAGCTAATAACTGCCTAGCCACTACACTAGGATCCACATTGTAAGCTGTATTCCAAAAACTGCTTGAGCATGTGTGATGAGGAAGCAAGCAATGGTACTTAAAGTATTACTAAACCCACAACAGTAAAATCAGTCTGTATATGCAGTAAAGCATCCTTGTTATACTCTCTGTGTAACCTAAGGGGTTATTCCTCTGCTTTGTGTAAAAAAAAAAAGCTGTTTGATCCTGTCTTCTCTGCCCCTCCTCTTGTTGAAACGACCACCTGATACAGACTGAATCCGTAGTCACATGCACATGCTCAGTTTGGTGTGCATTGCTATACTTTTTGGGGGTTGGTCTTGGGAGGGTGCATGTGATCAACACAGGGCCAATCAGCACTGTCCAGAGGGGCAGAGGTTTCACATCCTCCTAGAGCAGAAAGAAAACTCCTCCAACAAACTTTAAACAGTGCTCTGCTGCAGTCACAAGACTGCTCTAACTGCTGATGAGAAAAGGTATTTAGCAGTTTTTATGGACTAAAATACTTGCACTGCCATGTTGTATGTACTGTGGGAGACCGGATACAGTGAAAGCAGGGCCCGGGGGTTTAGTAACACTTAATCCTGACATACATAGATTAAAAGAGAAGTCCAGGCAAAGATCTTTTGGCTGTACTTCTGTGGATTACAGAAGTGTAGTCCATTTGGCACTCCAGTGACCCATTTTCAGGGGACAGCTGCCTGAAGTCCACTGATGTCACACAGCATGGCCAGGCTGGGTCAAGATCCTGACTTCAAAGTCGGGATCCACTGCAGACTTTGGAGTAGCAACTGGCTCAGCCTCGCCATGAAGAACAAAGAGTTTGAGCCTGCCGCTGCCTCCCCCTCCACAGCCCAGGGCTACAGTGAGTGCTGAGGGGGTTGAGCTGACAGCAAACATGTGATTGCAGAGTTAGCACCCTTACAGCCTAAGGGAGACGGATGAAGCATTGGACCAATGCTTCATCCACTTAGGCAAGTCACAGTAGTGGAAACAAAAACAAGGCCGACTTAGCTAAGAAACTACAATCCGGCCAATAGTAATCGGCCAAATTACACTACAGCTATGGTCAGCATGATTGTACATACTGTAAGGCAAATTAGGGTTTGTCTTGGGTACAACCAGCATGTCTGCTTTTTGCAAAGACAGTCACTTGCAGCTGATATAGCCACGAGGACTATAAACAGAGTACTGTACCAGCCCTGAATGTTGCCCACACATTAAACTGCCAGAATCTAGGAACTCAAAGGCAGACAAACACACAGCAGCAATGACTGTGTTGACGTGTGAAGAAAGTGACTTTCACCCCTTCCACATAAGGCAGAAGGAAAGAAAAGCATATCAGCAATGGAAAGCCTAACATTGGCCGTGTTGGGAGCAGCTCTGCCTCAGTTCCCAAATCCTACACCTCAACCTTGATGTCACCTACAGAGACAAATATCCCCAAACACATTGAAAGTACTTTCAGTGGGTGTGAGGGGGAGAGAAAGTCATCCCTCTCTTCTGGCTCCAGCTCACCCTCTACCAACATGGCTGGAGCTACACAAACAAGAAAGAACACAACAAACACCTTCAAGACATCCCAGATCCAGAATGCACACAGAGAACAGGCAAGCACATTCCTGGAACTTACAGTGGGCTGGAGCAGAGGGGGCCTCCTCATGAGGGGGATGAAGCTGTGGTTCCTCCTCCCCCACAGACAACATGGCTGGTACTACACAAACAAGAAAGAACAACACCAACCCCTTTGAGAGAGCCAAGTACAACAAGGAACACAGAGAACAGACAAGCACATTCAAGGCACTTATAGTGGGCCTGAGGCGAGGTGGCCTCATTGTGGGGCGGAGGCTGCTGGGGCACCTCCTCATCTTCCTCCCCTGCAGAAAACATGGCAGAAGCTACACAAACAACAAAAAAGAACACCACCAACCCCTTTGAGAGAACCAAGTACAACAAGGAACACAGAGAACAGACAAGTACATTCAATACACTTACAGTGGGCCTGAGGTGAGGTGGCCTCATTGTGGGGTGGAAGCTGCTGGGGCTCCTCCTCATACTCCTCCCCTGCAGACAACATGGAAGAAGCTACACAAACAACAAGAAAGAACAACACAAACACCTTTGAGAGAGCCAAGTACAACAAGGAACACAGAGAACAGACAAGCACATTCAAGGCACTTATAGTGGGCCTGAGGCGAGGTGGCCTCATTGTGGGGCGGAGGCTGCTGGGGCACCTCCTCATCTTCCTCCCCTGCAGAAAACAT